ATGCGTGTACGTATGAATGCATGCATGCATGCATGTATGCATGTATGTATTTACATGTTTATGTATGTATGCACATATATATATATATGCACACAAATAATTGTATATATATAGATATATTCGGGGTGCTCGGGTTTGAACTCCTTACGGCGACTATCTGTTTGACGGGTTTCGGCATGTGCGCGCGACGACGCGCGCGTGTGCTCTGAGTCATTTTTTTTTGCTAGGGGTCCTTGCGACAGCATGCGCGCACGGGCGTTTGAATGATTTGGTCATGCGCGCGCGCGACAAGCATGTCTGGTAGCATGTGTGTGTGTCCCGTCGGAAACCTATAGTTATAGTAAATATTCGCAGGGGCGCGGGCGCGTTTCGTTTGAACTCCCAGGCGCGCGAGTTTCTTCCCCAACCGTCCTGTGGTATTGGGTCCTCGTTTCGAAGAGACGGTCCCCGCGTTCCTCTCCTCTCTTCTCCTCTTCTCCTCCTCCCCCTCCTCCTTCCTCCTCCTGTCACCTCGCTCACTTTGGCACACCCCTCACACGTATCGTGGCCCATAGGGAGCCCCACCGAATGCCCAGATGCCAACGTTCGCATGCGGCCGCCGCACCCAGTTTGGCACACCCCTCGCACGTTTCGTGGCACCATAGGGAGCCCCGCCGACGGCCCACATCCAAGCTTTCGCGTGCGGCCACCACGCCCATTTTGGCACACCCCTCGCACGCTTCGTGGCCCCACAGAGCCCCACGGAAGACCCAACCGCCAGCATTCGCATGCGGCCACCGCGCCCATTTTGGCAAACCCCTCACGCGTTCCGTGGCACCACAGGGAGCCCCACCGAAGGCCCAAATGCCAGCGTTCGCATGCGGCCACCGCGCCCATTTTGGCACACACCTCACACGTTTCGTGGCACCATCGGGAGCCCCACCGAATGCCCACATGCAAATTTCCGCATGCTGCCACCGCACCCATGTGGGCACACCCCTCGCACGTTTCGTAGCACCACGGGGAGCCCCACCGAATGCCCAAATCCAAGCGTTCGCATGCGGCCACCGCACCCATTTTGGCACACCCCTCACACGTTTCGTGGCCCCATTGGGAGCTCCTCCGAACGCGGTGCAGATAACGACGGTGTCAGAACTGCGCACGGTTGGGTCATTCGCCAGACTATTGTTTTGTTTTCTTCCCCTCCCCTTTTTATGGGTAGAAAACATCTTCAACCACAGAAGCAATAATGCTGCATCTTTACATATCACATAAAACAAAGGGTTGCGCACCTATTATTATTTTTATTATTATTGTTATTATTATTATTCTTCTTATTATTATTATTATTAACATTATTAACATTATTAGTATTATTACTATTATTTGTTGCTTTTTTACTAAAAAGTTTTCGTGACACTCGATTTTGGAATCCTTACGGGGATCTGAGATTCTTGAAGGAGCTCGGTATGCGCGCGCGACGACCCGCGCGTGTGCATGTCGTCCTGTTTCCGATGACTTTTGATCAACGGGTGCGCGCGAACAGATTTCCTTGCAGAGGATGAGGGGGGACCGAAAAGGGACGTCCTGGGATGGTTCGAGTTCATACTTCGGATGGACGATGGGGCAGAACCGCATGTAAATTGCAATGCAAAAAGGCGGACCGTTAAACTCATTTTTTGTTTATAGATATATATGTATATATGTAAGTATATATATATATGTGTATAAGCGTAGCTGTGGTGCAAGCTATGTAGTGCAATCTACGTTGTGCGATCTATGCTGTGTACTATACATATTGCAATCTACTTGGCGCGACCTGCGTGGTGCAATCTATTTGATGCAGCCCGTGATGGGCATCTACAGTCGGGGCCTTGACCTAAGGGACCCTAAATAAGGAACGAGGTCCCTTTTTCCATAAGATAAACTTCGATTTCGTATCGAAAACAAAAGGACAACCTGAGGCAAGCTGTGAAATACTTAAGGAACGCGGAGCCCCTCCCCAACCAAAAGGGTTCCTTCTTCAGGGCCCCGACTGTATACTGTGCAATCGAAATGCTGCAACACGTGCGGATGCGAGTTGGCGACGGTCGGCGACGGCTGGCGACGGCGACGGCGGGGCGGCGACGTCGAGCACGGAGCCGCCAGACCGACACCCAGGCCCAGTTCCTGAGAACACACGTGCGAACCTCTAAATGCAAGCGCTGGCTGGATACAGTCGGGGCCTTGACGTAAGGAACCCTAAATAAGGAACGAGGCCCCTATTTTCCACAAGTTGAACTTCGGTTTCCTATCGAAAACCGAAGGAACATCCAAGGCAAACTGCGAAACAATTAAGGAACACGGAGCCCCTCCCCAACGAAAAGGGTTCCTTCTTCAGGGCCCCGACTGTTCTCTTCACATACATTTGGTATGTTTTGATGTGTGCAGGTGTGTGTGTATATCTATATATATGCATCTGTCTAGGTATGTGTGTGTATGCGTGTATACACGTCCGCCGGCCCCCGCTCGCTGGGGGTGTGGAGGCGTGTGAGGCATGTGGCTGTCCCCCTCTCCCTTCCTCCCTCCCCCAGGGTCCAACATGCCATTTTAAAGGGGGGGTTGGGGTCCCAGCGGCCCCTGGGGCCTCGGGAGCCTCTAAAATCACGATCCGTGGCCTACAGGATCCTTAAGGTGCCTGGTAAGCTGGCTCAAGCTGGGCTCCAACACGCCGCGGAGGCATCAAAAACACCAAAGCTGGCCTCCCGACGGCCCAAAAGGCCTCCAAGACGCCCATGAGGGCTTCAAGGGGACCACAACGCCAAATTCCTTTGAGAGAGCGTGCAACTTTAGCATTATTGTCTTTCTTGTTTTTTACAGCGTCCCAGACAGGTCAAGAGGACCCCAAGGCCGCCCCATGACGGCCCCAGACGCCCCCAAGAGGACCTCAAGACGGCTGAGGAGGGACTCCAAACGGCCCCTAGGGCCTCCAAGACGGCCCACGACGTGCCCACGAGGGCAAGGATACGAACTGGCATTTCGAGCCTTTTCCCCCAACTGGCCCCACGATGCCTCCAAGAGGCTTCCAAGAAGCTCCAAAGAGGCTCCCCAAAACACTCCAGATGCACCACAGAGCCCTCCAAGCACGCCCTAAGAGGCATCCAAGGGCCCCTCAAATGCATCCAAATGGTATGACGCACTAAATGATTTCCACGATATCTGCCAACTCTCACTCCTTCTGGGGGTCGGCGGACAAGCGTCAGCCGCGTGATTGTATTTCCACACGCATGTGCGTGTAACTACGTATACCATCTAGAACCATCGCGCGCGCTTCGCGCGCGCGATGGTTCTAGCTAGCTTCTTGGGGCCTCCTCGGAGCATCCTGGACTGCTTCTTGAAGTCGTCATGGGACCTTCTTGGCATGTCTTCGGGGGCCTCTTAGAAAGAATTTTGAAGCATTTTTGGTGCCGTCTTGGGGCCTCTTTTGGGCTTCTTGGGGGCCTCTTGGGGCCTCTTGGGGGCCTCTTGGGGCCTCTTGGGGGCCTCTTGGGGGCTTCCTGGGGGCCTCTTTGGGCCTCTTGGGGGCATCTTAGGGCGGAGAGCTTGAGTTTTCAGTTCGCGTTCCCTCCCTTGGGCCCCTCTTGGGGCCTTCTTGGGACCCTCTTGCGCCGTCTTGGGCGGCTCTGGGGCCGTCTCGGGGCTCTCTCGGGCCGTCCTGGGGCCGTCTTGGGGGCCTCTTGGGCCGTCTTGGAGCGGTTGGGGGAGCCTCCTGGGCGGTGCTTTAGCGTCGGAAGCACGAAACAGCGAGAATGCAAAAAATCATGGAAAAACAATGCAAACCAACGATTTTGCCCCTCTCGGGGCGCTCTTCGGCGGCATCTTAAAAGCCTCTTGGGGCGTCTTGGGGGCCTCCGGGGCAATTTAAACGCATCGTGCGTCGACGGAGATCCCTGGACGTCGTCTTGGGGGTGTCTCGAGACCGCCTGGGGCTGCCGAGATTGCTGTCTGAGGGCTCCCCGGGGCGATTTTAAGCCTCCCAAAGGCGGGGCGGGCCCGGGCCCTGGGCCCCACATTTGTGGTCGGGGTCCCGGCCCCCGGCCCCCCCCACATACGCGCACTGTATGCATGCATGCATGCATGCATGCATGCATGCATGCATGCATGCATGCATGCATGCATGCATGCATGCATGCATGTATGTATGTATGTATGTATGTATGTATGTATGTATGTGTGCATGTATGTATGGATGTGTGTATATAGGTATGCATATGTGTGTGCATGACTGTCTGTCTGTCTGTCTGTCTGTCTGTCTGTCTGTCTGTCGGTCTGTCTGTATGGATGTATGCATGCATGCATGTATGTATACGTGTGTATGTATGCATGTGTGTGTATGTATGTGTATGCACGTCTATATATATATAAGTACATTGGACGGATCGGAGATCGATCTCTCATATCTTCGGGAGGCAGCGGATATGGACATGTCCCAGGTCCGTGCGGACTCAATCGTTTTTTTTTTTTGGATCGGCGCTGAGTTCCCATGCCTGGCGTGCGGAGCGCGCCTGGGCGGCGCCAGAGGCGCTGCCAGGGAGGCCCAACGCCGATCCAAGAAGTCCGTACGGAGTTCCGACGGTTCGTGTCTGTGCCGGTGTCTCGCCCTCGACTCCTGGGGCCCAGTCTTGGGAACTCGGCTCCCGAGGATGTGGCTATGGGAACTCCCAGCATCGGACCAACGACGCCTTGGGCTCATGGCGAACAAGACTACGAGTCTACCAACGTTGGGCGCCCGAATTATCCGGGGTAACTCGGGTCCAGGGTAAGTCGGGTTTGGATTCCCGAAAAAGGAACCCGAATTAGCCCTGACTCGAGTTACCCCTGATGATTCGGGGCTCTGGACGCCCGAAATATCCGGGGTAACTCGGGTCCGGGATAACTCGGGTTCGGGCTCCCGAAAAACGAACCCGAGTTAGCCCTGACCCGAGTTACCCCTGATGATTCGGGGCTCTGCCAACGCGCCCGAGAGGCGCGGGAAGCCCGCCTCACTTGCGCCGCGGGAGGGCCGCAGGCGCCGGCCGAGAGGGCCCAGGGGTGTACCTGGAGGGGCCGCACCCCCTCGTGCTGCGTGCTGCTCCTGCTCACGCTCCTCCTCCCTCCTCCTTCTGCTCCCCCTATATACCCTCCCTCTCTTACTTCCCCCCCTCCTCCTCCTCCTCCTCCTCCTCCTCCTCCTCCTCAATCTCCTCACTCGCCCCTCCCTCCTCCTTCCTCGCTCCTCTTGCTCCCTCCTGCCTCCTGCTCTGTGGCCCTCGTGGCACTGCTCTTGCTCCTCTCTCTCTCCTCCGCCTGCCTCCTCGCTCCTCCCTCCTCGTCTCCCTCCTCCTCCCTCGTCCTCCTCATCCTCCTTTAATTTTGCCCGGACAGAACACCTGGGCGACACAACCCGAAGGGAGATGCCCAAGGAGCCTGCATGAATTCACCTGCAGTCCTCCTCATCCTCCTGCCCATGGCACCCCCTCCGTCTCCTCCCCCTGCTCTTGGCCCCCTCCCACTCCTCCTCCCTCGCCCCCCTGGACCACTCCAGGAGCAGGAAAGGAAAGGAGGGGCCCGACCCCTCCGAGGCATTCGAGGCGGATCAAGCTGGCGGCGCGTACGAGGGGGTAGGGGGCGAGGGGAAAGCTTCCTAGAAGGAGGCCGCTTCTTAGAAGGCGCCGGCCTTACATCTGCAGACGAGGCCTGCGCCTGCTGAGAAGCAGGGGTGCCTCCAAGACGCCTTCCCCGCTCTCCCTGGCCTCCCTCTCTGCGCGTGCCCGATCAAGTCGGCCGTGCCGACGAATGGGCCATCAGGAGCCCCCCGCCCCCTCTCTCTCTCAAACTGGAAGGCTTCAAAATCTTTCTTCCTCCTCGCCTCTCAGGCGCTCGCCAGCGGGGGAGAACTAAACGGGGGGGGGGAGGCGGAGGAGGAGGAGGAGGAGGAGGAGAAGGAGGAGGAGGAGGAGGAGGAGGGAGGAGGAGGAGGAGGAGGAGGAGGAGGAGGAGGAGGAGGGAGGAGGATGAGGAGGAGGGACGCGTGCACATGCCAAGCACCCGCTCTGGGCCCGCGGTCGCAGCCTCGCCGGCCGCTCGAGGCAGCTTTCCTGCACTCCCTCGGCCCTCCCCGTGTGCTGCTGCTCTCCCCGCTGCCGAGCGCCCGCGCCTACGCCCCATCGTGCCCGGACACCCGGCGTCATACGGTCGGGGCGTTGACCTCATGGCCCCTGCCATGATCTCCCCCACCTACCCATCGCCCCCCCGCTTGGGCACCCCCGAGGGCCCTGCCGCTCGAGGCCCTCGCCATCGCTCGGGCGTGCACTCCCCGTGCACGTCTTGATGCCGTGCGTTTTTTTTCTTTTCCGCCAGGTGCTCCCAGATGCTCTTCGGTGGTCCTCGCCGAGCATACAATCGGGGCGTTGACCTAAGGAACCCTAAATAAGGAACGGGGCCCCTGTCTCCCGTAAGTTGCACTTCGATCTCCCATGGGAAACCTCTGCAAGACAGAGGGCAAAGAGTAGAAGAATCAAGGAACACCGAGCCCCTCCCCAGCGAAAAGGGTTCCTTCTGCAGGGCCCCGGCTGTAACCCCTCCGCAGGCTCGGCCACACGCACGAGAGACCTCTGGTGCGCGGCACCGGGGGGCGGCGGGGAAGGCAAATCGAAGCGCACCAGCCGGTGCTGGGGGACCCGTGTGGGCTCGCACCCCGAGGTCACTGCGGCGAAGGGTCACACTCTTACGCCTCGCAATCGCTCGGACGTCCATTCCCTGGGCATCTTTTCGGTGTCGTGCATGTTTTTTTTTTGCGTCCGGTGGTCGAGGGTGCTCCTCGATGGCCCTCGCCGCGGAAGCGTGCACGCGTCCGAGCGATGCCAGGACGCGTGGCCGACAAGCCTCTCGACTCCGTCCCGAGGGCAACTTACCCGCCCCTGGGCCACTAGTCGGTCGCCCCCAGGTCTCCCGAGACGGCCCCCCCCCACACGCGAGAGACTCGGGGGAGCGATCTGGTCGATGCTGTCATCCGTCAGTCCCAGAGGGCTCGCCGATGCCGTCGTGAATGTCCCCGTAGGTGACAGCTGTGCGCCTTGTCGGTGGTGAGGGACCTGGCAAAGCCATACCATGACAACTTTTTGTTGATCGCGGCGTGTCCAACGGGCCGCGCTTCGTCCTCACGGCAACAGCTCTTCCCCCCATCTCCTCGAGGCTCGGCCAACTCCTCTGAACTTCGGCTGGGGTAACTCCGTGCGGAAGGACCACCGCGCAGCCGCAGCTCGGGTTTGAGAAGGCCTCGCTGGTAGCGGGTCACTCTGAGACAAGTCGGCCAGACACTTTGCGTCGTAGAACCCTTCTGAGAGGCGAGCTTGAACCTGTGTGCCCGCCAGGATGAGCAACTCCTGGTTGCGGTGCTCTTCCAGTATCTCCGCCAAACGGGGCCCGATGGTGTGCTGCGGTTCGTATTCCAACACCGTCAGAGTCATCCCATGGCGCAGCACTGTGCCAGGTGCGGGCTCGTTGGGCCTCCTGCGCAACCTTACACAGAGAGAATGTGTGGGCGAATTTCTCGCCCCTGGGAGGATGTGCGCTCGCGCCACAGGGCTAGGATAATGATCATGACAGTGGTGATGATAACGATGCTGATGATGTTGATGCTGATGCTGATGATGCTGATGGTGGTGACGATGATGCTGATGTTGACGCTGATGCTGATGCTGCTGATAATGATGATACTGATGATGATGACGATGATAATGATGCTGCCGATGCTGATGTTGATGCTGATGATGGTGATGATGGTGATGATCACGACGATGACGTTGATGATGATGTTGATGATGCTGGTGATGACTATGCTGCTGGTGATGATGATGCTGCTGATGATGATGAGGATGATGATGATGGCGATGCTTATGATGATGACCATGATGCTGATGCAGATGATGACGATGTTGATGATGCTGGTGATGATGCTGCTGCTGCTGATGATTCTGATGCTGTGACTGATGATGAGGATGGGGGGAATGAGGAAGACGAGGAGGAGGACGAGGAGGATGAACAGGAGGAGTGAGGACGAGTGGAAAAGGAGGATGAGAAGGACAAGCGGGAGGAGCAGGAGGAGGAAGAGGAGGAGGAAGAGGAGGCACAGAACCAACAGGAGGATGAGATGGAACCGAAACGGACCCCCAGACACCGACACTGGCGAAGAGCACCCTCGTCCTCCTCGAACCCCGAGCTTGCCGAGTAGGATATGTTGGTTGGCATCCCGACCCAGGAGAGGACGTGCCGAGGTGGACCCCTTCCTCCCCCCGCGGGAAGGTGAGGTCTCCACCCATGGGGCCACGAAACGTATGAGGGATGTGCCAAAATGGACTCGACTACGTACGCGAACCCTGGCAATAGGACCTTCGGCGGAGCTCCCTGTGGGGCCACGAAGCGTGTGGAGGGTGCGCCAGAACGAATGCAAGTATGCATGCGAACCCTGCCGCTGGGGCCTTCGGCGGAGCTCCTTCTGGGGCCACGAAACATGTGAGGGGTGCGCCGACGTGTACCCAAGTGCGCATGCGGACCCTGCCGCTGGAGCCTTCAGTCGAGCTCCCTATGGTGCCAGAGAGCGCGTGAAAGGTGCGACAGAATGGACCCAGGTACGCATGCGAACCCTGCCATTGGAGTAGTGCAGCTCCTTACGGGGCCGAGACGTGTGAGGGGTGTGCCGAAATGGACCCGAGAACACGTGCGAACCCTTCGGCGGAGCTTCCTATGGGGCTACGAAGCGTGTGAGGTGTGTGCCAGAATGGACCCGAATAAGCATGCGAAGCCTGCCACAAGGGGCCTCCAGCGGAGCTCCCGCTGGGGCCATGAATCATGTGAAGGGTGTGCCGAACTGTATCCGAGTGCGCATGAGAACCCTGCCGCTGGAGCATTCGGGCGAGCTCCCTAAGGTGCCAGGATGGGTGTGAAGGTTGCGGCAGACTGAACCCCAGTACGCATGCGAACACTGCCACTGGAACCCGCGGTGGAGCTCCCTATGGGGCCACGAAGCGTGTGAGGGGTGTGGCCGAACGGTGATGTGAATGATGGTCATGGTAACGAGTATGAAGATGATGATGCTGATAACGACGATCCTGACGACGGTAACGACTACACGAATGACAAGGACGAGGAGGGAGAGAGGAGAAGAGGCGGAGGAATGAGACGCGGGGCGCTGCGAATTCGAAACGAGGACCCAACACACAGGAGAGCTCAAACAACAAAACAGACGTGTCTGTGTCTGGAGACCCAAATCCGGCAACACACGCCAAGATCAATAACCCTGGGTTATTCGAAGAAAGACTGTGTGACCATCAACTTTCGGAGGTCCGCGTGTATCTCTTCGATCTGCGCTGTACCCAGGGACGGCACCGGTGGCCGCAACAGGGGGGGCCAACGCCCATCCGAGAAGTCCGGGGGGCGGAGCTGCGAGAGTTTACACGCTCGTGACGTGTTTCCTGCTCGACTTCTCGATCCTCGGCTCGATCCTCTCGCCATCGCTCCGACATCCATTCCCTGTGTTTTTTTTCGGTTTCGTGCATGGTTTTTCCGCCAAATGATCAAGGATGCTCCTCGACGGTCCTCGCCGAGGAAAAGCGCACACGTCCGAGCGATGCCAGGCCCTCGTCGTCGTCGGAGGGCACTCGTCCACCCACTTGGCCTCCGTGGCCCTGCGCAGAGCCTCCAAGCGCGTGTAGGCCAGGATGCCGGCGGCGATCGCCAGCACCGCGAGGAAGCTGCGCAGCTGCGCGGGCGGAGAGGGGGGCGGCTCCTCCCTTCCCCCCCCCCCCAAAGGCCTGCGCTGCCTCTCCTCTCACTGATGGCTCCTCCCTCCCTCGCCTCCTCAGGCCCAGGCTGAGTACTCCTCCCTCCTCAACCTCCTCCCTCCTTCTCCTCCTACGCTCCTCTCCCTCTCCCTCTCTCTCCTCCCTCGTACCTCGTCCCTCGTCCCTCGTCCTCGTCCTCGTCGTCCTCCTCCTCCTCCTGGCTACTCCCTCCTCCTCCTGCTCCCTCCCTCCTCCTTCCGTGCGTGGGAGTGGGGGCGGGGGCTCCCTGCGCCGTCCTTCTGCTCCCTCCTCCTCCTCCTCCTTTTTCCATCAGACTAACGTGAGGAACTAGCCTGTCGCGTTCTCGCTTCTCTTCCTCCTCCTCCCTCGTTCTGGTCGATCCACCCCTCCACCCATCTTTCCTTCCCGCGCCAGCTCCCGCGCACACGCGCTCCTACGCGCGCGGGGAGGGGGGATGAAGGGCAGAGGCAGGAGGGGTGAGAAGGGGGGTGAGAAAAACTAGTTGCGCTCGCGCCGTATCTGACATCCTACTCCTCCCACCCATGCCTTTCCATTGGACTGATTGCTTTTCTATCCGCCGACGGGTGTCACAGCGGACCAGGAACCTCCCTTAAGACACCATCGTATTATGCGCCATCGGAAAGGGGGAGCTTTGTACATTGCAATAGGAAGAGGCGGTGGAGGATGAGCAGGAAGAAACGTAGGAGGACGAGGGCAACAGCATAAGCAAGAGTTGGAGGAACGGGCAGAGCAAAATAACCAAAGGAAGGCGGATAAAGAGAACATAACAAAACGACAACGACGAAGAACGACTCGGATCCCGAAAGGTTGCCCGTGCTCGGGCGAGAACGGCATTCTGAACGATGGGAGCGGGGCACACCATTTGAAACACCGGGAACGTCCTGATGGAAAGCAATACTATTCAGTGCCAACTTTGGTAATCACATTGTCGGGGGAGGAGGGGATCGTAGTTTTCGTGCTGGATCATCCGCCACCGCGCCTCTGGGCACGGAGTGGGCGTGTCCTCGGGTCCTTTGCCTACACCCTGCGAAATGCTTAAGGAATCATGGGTTCAGAAATTCATAGTCTCAGAACTTGAATAAAACCCAGAACTTCTATCAACATCTTGGGATTTGCATTGAAAGGTTAAGAGTAATCGAGACTCTGGCCGAAAACTTGGGTTTTCTTAGCCATCGCCTAGGGTGTAATCCTCGAAGCCTCAGTCCTCACTCCCGAGGAGCCTTGGAAGGGGCCCGGGCGCCAAATTTCGAAACTTGGCAGGGCTTGGCGCAGCAGGCAGGCAGCAGGCAGGCAGCAGGCAGGGGCATCTCTCTCTCTCTCTGACCTCCCCTCTCCGCTCCTGTCTTCTTCCCGACCGCGCTTCCTCCTTCGCTGCACTCCTTTCGCCCCCCCGAGTCGACCCCTCCGCTTCCAGCCCGTGCCTCATCCCCCCTCCCCTTCCTTCCTTCTCTGCTCCCTTCTCTTCTTTCCCCTTGAGTCACGAGTGCTTCGAGCCTTGCCACGAGCTATTCTGAGCGTGAGTGGGGCGAGTCTGAATACGAGTGAGGTTGCCAGTAAGCGTTCCTCGTCCTCGTTCTCGTCCTCGTCCTCCTCCTCCTCGTCCTCCTCCTCCTCCTCCTCCTCCTCCGCGTCCACTCCGCCAGTTCGGCGGGCGGGGTGAAATGAACTGCGTGCCCCCTGGGATTTGGAGCGTGCCCCCTGGGCTCCGGGAAGGGTTGTCGCGTGAGTGTTTCGGGCCCACGAGGGGTCCGAAGACGGGCCACGAGGTCTTCCAGGAAACCACCAAGGCGGTCCAAGAGGGCCCCGAGTCGCCGAACGATCGCTCCAGGACGCTCAAGATGGCCCCAAGACGGCCCAAGACGCTCAGAAAGAGGCGTCCAAGGGGCCTCCCAGGGGGGGGGCAAGAGTTTTTTGACGGATTTTGGCGTTTCGCTTTTTCGGCTCCCCGACGCTCCCAGACGGCAGACAACCCCAAGACGGCCCGAGAGGTCTCCAAGAGGGCCCCCAAACGGACCAAGAGGGCCCCAAAGGCATCCAGAACGATCCAAGAGGCCCCCAAATGGGCCCAGAGATGGAAAACGAAGCGAACATCCGAGCCGTCTACGCCAAGAGGCTCCCAGGAGGCCCCAAGAGGCGTCCAGAAGGCCCCACGAGGCCCAACAGAGGCCCCAAGAGGCACCAAAAAAAGCTCCCAATAGGCGTTCAGACTGCCTCCAAGAGGCCCGGCCTCCCATGCGATCCCAACAAACATCCAATAGGCTTCATACCCACAACCCAGGCACGGAGGCGGGATGCGCCGAAGGCCATTCGATTGTTGAGGAAAGGGGGAGGGGTGGAGTTGGAGGGAAGTGGAGAAGAGGAAGAGGAGGATGAGGAGAAGGAGAAGGAGGAGGAAGAGGAGGAGGAGGAGGACGAGGAGGAGGAGGAGTGAATAGTTAGATGGGGCGGAAAGATGAAGAGGGGGATGATGAGGATGGGTAGGGGGCAAAGGAGAAACAAGAGGTGGAAACAGGAATTGGAAGCGCGGAGGGGGCGGGAATGGGAGTTGGGGGAGGATGGCCAGGAAAGGGCAGGAAGAGCATCGAGGCTCCTTGTGGAAAGGGGGAGGGACGATGATGAGGAGACGAAGACGAGGAACATGAGAAGACACCGTTCACCTCGAAGCGGACGTCCCGGAAGCCGGTGGCGATGTAGAACAGGTAGATGGACGGGGCTGTGGCGGTCTTGCATATGAACTTGGCGACCGCCGACATGCGCGTCAACACGGCGACCGAGAGCCACCCGGCTCCGATCTCCGTGGTGAGGACCTCGGTCGTCGTCGTCGTCGTCGTCATCGTAATTCCCCTCCTCCCTCCCTCCTCCTCGCTTTGCCATGGATGCCACCGCCACCCTCATCAGATAAGGAACCATCCATGGTCTGAACGTCCTGGGTGCAAGACTCACGAACATGCTCACCACACCATCCTCGGCGTCCGGATGCCACTTCTAGGATCACAATAGTACTCAGGATGGTAAGCCGGCCCCAAGGACGGGGTCGAGGGGGTCTGGGGGCCCACGCCATGAAAGAGCCGTGACATCGTCGGGTGTCTGGGGAGGCAGCGCGGGCGTTAGAAGCAGGGCTCGTCCGAGGCAGCGAGCGAGAAAGACAGGTACATCACGATGCATGAGACGTGGGCCGATCCTACAAGTGTGGGCAGAACGTGAAAGGGTGCGAAGGGCGGCCTTGCTGAAACACTGCGTCCGTACTACGGTTAGGCCGGGCATGCCCTCCTACAGGCGGATTTTGGGCGAACAATAAAAATAGTAAAAACATACACCCAAACAGGTCAAACATAGTCAACAAATCGCGCCCAGACTATCGTTAGACTATTTTTGAATCTTCCTCCTGTAGAGGGACAGGCCCGACAGAGCGCAGAGGTCGGGTACGTGAGAGAACGCAAGCACGCCTGCAGCACAGGGACACACCAGGTGCGGCGTGGCGAGGCAGACCTGCCAATGACACCGCGTCTCGGAGACGGTACGCCCTCGATATTCAGTCTGCGCGAGCGGCGCGCGTCCAACATCGGAGATGGCAGCCCTCTAGAAGCCAGGAGGGGGCGAGGGGCTTCGTTTCCATGAGGTACCTCCAGCTGACATTCGACGTGCACAGGAGTACTCGCTGGGATGCGATCTGCCTGCAGCTGACCTTCTGGAGCCCACTCCTTGAAGGGACACTGAGGGAGACGACCGGAAGGACGGGGGGGAACAAAATGACGAGGAAGGCTGGAAGGGAAGAGACGGAAGAGACGGGCGCAGTCCCCGCAGGTCTTTTGGGGCCGCAGCAACACGAGCACGACAAAAAGGTACCCTCGATCGATCAAGAGGGGCAAGGAAGGAGGATGAAGAGGATGCTGAAGGAGAATAAATGGTGGGGGACCCTCTATCGAAGGAAAGCCACTTGAGACAAAACGGCGGCTCCCCCGCCCAGTTCACATCTGCGAACAAAAATTGTCCCCAGAACCCACTCGGGGTTTATCCCGGCCCGTTCCTCGAGCCGCATCCAGCAGTGGCGACGAGGGCCCTCCAGGAGGCCCCCGAAGCAGGAACCTCGCCAGGGAGACCCGCCGTTCTCTCGACCGGCCGTCCTCCGCAGAGGAGGGACGACGACGCCGACGAGGCGAGGACCCCCCACGTCCAGCAGTCCCAGCCCCGGCGGTCGACGCACCAGGGCTCGCTGGGGCACAGGGGCGTGTCCTTCAACGGTGGCCGTGAGGAGGACGGCGAGGAACAGGGGGCGGATGGGGGACGGGGGGCGGAGAGGAGGAGGCAGGAAACGAGCAGAAGAACTAGCATTTTGCGTCCATGGTCCAGAGGGGCTGGGGGCCGATCTGCATCGAACGACCGAACGATGGACACCCTGCCCGGCACAACGGCCAAACGATACAGCTGTCGCATCGTTCACCCGACTGGAGGGGCAATCGCAGAAGGTGGGCCAGAAGGAGGGGAACGACTTGGGATCATTTGGAGCACGTGCGCAGCGCAGCGTTCGGAGGAAAGAGACAAAGAGGGAGGATGGTGGAGCGCGTCAAGGGAGGGGGATCCAAATCACTGCTGTGAGGCGCTTCGGCCATGACCACCTCTCGCTCAAGCTTCGAACCAGCAGCGAGAACCTCTGCTGAACTGGGAACCATGCGACCCTTAGTAGATCCTTGCCACATTTTCTCAGCCCTTCTCCGAAGATGCCAAACAACCAACAACAAACTTGCGGCCATCAAACATGGCCGTGCGCCCGCAACGGTGGCAAACACACATGCTGAAACGATCCCAAAACCCGAGACGACGAGACCCGTGAGAAGCGAGCCCGCACACAACCACGGGCCCTCGAACCCAAACCACAACTTCCTTGGGCCACGCCTGGGCCCCTTCGGGCGATCAGCCCGAGGCACACAACTCGAGTTCCCCCCAGGTCGAAGACAGAACGCAACGGGAACAGCGATGGCTCCCATATTCGGGGATACAGTGCATGAGCAGGAGGAGGAGGAGCAGGGGCAGGGGCAGGGGCAGGGGCAGGGGCAGGAGCAGGAGCAGGAGGAGGAGGAGGAGGAGGAGGAGGAGGAGGAGGAGGAGGAACATTGAACATCCGAAACGAGTTAACGACATTGCACTCAACCATCCCTCCGAATCCCACCAGCCCTCTGGGCGTAGGTGGTTTAGGGCGTTTCCTCTTCCACCCCTCCCTCTTCCCCTTCGGAGAAGGGTTTACCCCTCCCCCTTCCCCCTCCCCTGGACCTGGACGGGTGCGGTCGCGGGTAATTGGAGCGTCCAAAACGGCCTGGTCGAGGAAGCCAACATCATTGGGTTTACTAAGGTTTTGGCCCCATGTTGGCATTTTCTTGGGGAGAGGCTAATCAAGGAACCCCCATTCTTTGATCGATCTCCTCCAATTTGGCCCCGAGAGGCGTCCAGGAGGCCCGAAGAGGCCCCACGAACGCCCAAAGATGGCTCCAAGATGGCCCCCCAAAAGACCCCCAAGAGGCCCCCCAAAGGACCCCAAGCGGCCCCTAATAGCCCCCCCCCCCCGAGGCACCCAAGGCGCCCAATAGCCCCCCCCCAGGACCGCTGAGAGACCCCGAAGACGTCCCAAGATGCCTCCAAGAAACGCCCAAGAGATATCCCAAGAGACTCCGAGAGGCATCCAAGAGACCTCTAGCCCTTTCGCTTGCCTCCCTCCTCCTGCTCCTCCTTACTCCTCCAACTCCTTCTCTTCCCCCTCCTCCCCGTCCTCCTCTCATCATCATCCTATTCATCTTACTTCCACCTAATCACTCATCCACCCAACCTCCTGCTTCTCCTCCTCCATCCTTCGCACGGTTCGTCCGTCCACCTCTTTGCTCCCGCACTTCCCTGATCACCTCAACTCGCCTGGACACCGTTTGTGGATGGGCTGGTGGGGAGACGCGAAGCGTATATGATTCTCTCCTCAAAAGCCACTCGACGAATCCATTGCCACTACAGGAAGTGACATATTTGAAAACAGCTGTCTGAAAATCCTCAATCGTGCCCAAACGCAAGTCCTGGGACTTCAGCGCCACGGATCAACGTGGCGACATGAGAGAGAACGCGTTTCACAGGCGCTTGCCTGGGGAACATTCGGCGGCGCGTTTCCAACCGGGGGGTGGGCCCCCCCCCCAAACACTCAGCGCCGTCGATCAAAACCAAAGGGGGCGTCCCCTCCCCCCCAACCCCCCTCCCCTCCCGACCCCCCCCCCCAAGGGGGGAGGGGGGGTTCAAACCCCCCCCCCCGCCCTTCGGCGCCGGTGCTGGCGGCCGCCAGCAGCGCTCACGGCGGGGACGCAGCGACGTTGACCAGAGGCAGCCCAAGGGAAGGGGGGGGTTCAACCCCCCCCCCCGCTTCGCGCTGGCCTGGCGCTGGCGACGGCGGGGACGCAGCGACACTTACCACCACTACCACCACCATCACCACCACTACCAACACCACCACCGCCTCAACCCACCACCACCACCTCCACCACCAACAGCACCACACAATCACAACCACCACCACAGCCACCACCACCACCACAACCACCACCACAACTCACCATCACCACCACCACCATCACCACAAAAACCCACCACCACTACCACCACCACCACCACAATCTACCGCACCACCACCACCACCGCCACAACCACCACCACTACCAGCAGCACAACCCACCACCACCACCACCACAAGCCACCACACCACCATCACCACCACCACCACCACAAACCACCGTCGTCTTCGTCGACGCTCCACGCCACCGCCGCCCGTCGCCGCAGGCGCCGGCGCCGACCCAGAAATGGAAATCGTCGTCCCCGCCGCCGTCGCCAGCCGCCGCCGACACAAGCGCCGGCCCGACATGACAATCCTACATCTTACCAGCACACCATTCGTCGGACTTCAACACCACGAATCAAACTGACACTTGCGTCCTACCATTCCTAAATGGGGCAGTCCTGGGGCTTCAGCCATACGAATCCTTGGAACACTAGCGACTTCAAACATGCATGTGCGCGGCGCGAACGCGAGTACATCATTTTGAAAAGGAGCCGCCATGCAATTTTACACCAGTGCGAACTTTTGAGACAGGTGTCCGCAGAGATAAAGCGAGAGCTACTTCTTGAACACAGACCCGCCCTCCATACTTGGAGCTGCTGCCAACTTTTGGGGCGCCAGTGCGCAGCTCCAACACAGCGAGAACCAGATTTCGAAAAGGAACCATCCTCTACCCTTAAGCTTCCGCACACTTTCAAAACTGATGTCCACGGCGCCAGTGCGAGAGCTAGTTTTCGAACAAGGACTCGCCCTCCATCCTTGGAGCTGCGGCCAACTTTTGAGACGAATGCGCGCGCGGCGCTAAAGCGAGTGCCACATTTAAAACGAGCTGTCCTCCACCCCTGAATCTGCTGCAAACTTTTACAGTCGGGGCGTTGACCTCAGGAACCCTAAATCAGGAACGAGGCCACTTTTTTCCATAAGTTGAACTTCGATTTCCCATCGAAAACATAACGACCACCCAAGGCAAACTGTGAAGCAATCAAGGAACACGGAGCCCCTCCCCAACGAAAAGGGTTCCTTCTTCAGGGCCCCGACTGTAATGCGACAGCCACATTTTGAAAAGGAGCCACCCATCCATCCTCGAAGCGCTTTTGCGCCTTCGAACACGCACGTGCGCGGCGCTAAAGGCGAGCACCACAATATGGAAAGGGCCCGCCCTTCGTCCGCAAAACTCGCCATCGCTCGGACGTCCATTCCCTGTGTTTTTTTCGGCTTCGTGAGTGGTTTATTCCCCAAATGATCAGGAATACTCCTCGATGGTTTTCGCCATGCACACGTCCGAACGATGCCAGGAAAACTGTTTCCAACTTTCAAGCATCAAGATCACAAACCGTGGGGAAGTCTCAAACGAAACGCCCGCCCCGCCCTACCGACACGTCCTGCGTTGCGACAGGGAGGAGCTATTCATAAGGAAAAGGGATGGCGGAGGAGGAGCAGGAGGAAGAGGAAGAGTGGGAGCAGGAGAATCAGGAAGGCGGGCACAGGAAAGACGCAGGAGCAGGAGGGGGGAATAGATGACGAGGGAGGATGAGGAGGAGGATCAGGATAAGGGACTCCATTCTCCCTCTCCTTCCTCCCTCCTCCTCCCTCCCTACTGCCCCCCCTCCGAAGGAAGCAACCAGTCAAGACAGCCGCGCACCACCCCGCCAGCGACAGCAACGACGGCGACGGCGGCGGCAGCGGCGGCGGCGGCGGCGGAGACGGCAGCGACACACACGGCGACGGCGGCGGCGATGCCCGACCTGTGGCGGAGGTGAGGGGCAATGATAGGGAGGTGAGGGGGAATGATACAGTCAACATGTGCATGCAGGACTGGTGGGAAGGACGCAGGACCCTTGAAAGGCCGCAGTTGGGAGCTTTGGGCGACGGGCGACCGGTACACACACAGCAGAGGACGGGCCGCAGAGGCAGGGACACCAGGGCACCCTGGATGAAGTCGCGCGTCCTTACTGGGCGCGTCGCCTGCAGGAGGGGCTTGGTCGCAGACAGATCGGCGACGGGCCCCCCGATTCGGCGAGCCTGCACGCTCCTCGCCGGGGCTGGGGGGGCCTCCGACCATGCACGGGCGATTGGGGGTGGTCGTGTTCCCCCTCTGCGCCGACCGCCGCCCGCCCCTGAAGGAGGGACGAAAAGGACGAGGGCCAACATCCGCTCAGACTCCGTTCCCGGGCCTCCCCCGGGGTCCTGTCCGAGGCCCGACCGGACGAACGTCGCTGGGGAGGGCCACCATGTCTCGACCTGCCGGCGGCTTCTCGGACCATCACTGGGGCCTCCAGCGGCCGTTCGATCCGGGGCCCCCGGGACGCCTCTCGTCGATGCGCAGCTGCTGGGAAGCACCGCGAGGCCGCAGAGCCGACGAGGACCGACGGCAACGTCCGAACACCACGAACCCCAACGCCTCCCGCCCCCCGCTGCCTACTATCCCACGTTGCCGAGGAGGAGGAGGAGGCGGAGGCGGAGGCGGAGGAGGAGGAGGAGGAGGAGGAGGAGGAGGAGGAGGAGGAGGAGGAGGAGGGAAGGCCCGAGCTGCCGAGGGGGAGGGCGACGGGACGGGGGCCCCCCCGAGGGCCGTGTCCTCCACGGCGGCGGCGCGCAGCGCGCCTGCCGCCAGCGCCACCGCGAGGCTCTGGGCCTTGAGCAGCGTGTTCGCCTCCGGCCGCCGCTGCCGCTTTTGGCGTCGTGGCAAGAGTGACTACCTACCAGACCACCCCAACCCAACCCGAAGATCCGAATTTCGTGTTGGGGGGGGTATGGGTTCCATACGTGTTTTTTCGATGTTCTCCGACCCCCCCCCGCCCGAAATGGAAGGCAAATTGAGGCCTTCGGGTTGGGTTGGGGTGGTTTGGTGGGCGGTGAAAGAGGCCGTCCTCTTCATCGCCGTGGTCGTGGATTTTCGTCGGGGCAGTTGTCGTCGCGGTCGCAGTCGTCCGTGGTCGTCGTCGCGGCCGTCGGTCCTCATCGTGGCCGTGGTGGTCGTCGGCGCCACCTTTCTCGGCGTGGCAGTGGCAGTGGCAGCGGCAGTGGCAGTGGTCGTCGTCGTCGTCGTGGTCGTCGTCGTCGTCGTGATCGTCGTCGCCACCGATTTCGTCGTGGTAGTGGTCGCCGTCGTCGTGGTCGCAATCGTGGTCGTGGTCGCCGTCGCTGTCGCCGCCGCCATCGTCGTCGTCGCCGTCGTTGTCGAGGACCGAAGATTTGGATGCTCCTGAGATGACCTCCAGAGGCCCCAGCAGGGACGTCTGGTCGTTGTCGCCACCGTTGTCGCTGTTTCGTTGTCGTGGTGGTCGTGGTGGTGGTGGTTGTTGTGGTCGACACCGTCGTGATCATGAACGAACTTGCGCCGTCGCTATCGCCGTTGCAAACCTCGTCGTCGTCGTCGTCGCCGTCGTCGTCGTCGTCGTCGTCGTGATCGTCGTGATCGCCCTCATCTCGGTCGCAGTCGTCCTTTTCGTCGTCGCCCCCAAACATACAACGTCCTGAACACTCGACACGAACACTCTCCGTATTTTTCGAACTCAGGGGGATGGTCTCTGGCTCCTGGGCGGTGAACGAACGACCCGAGATTTGAAGCCCAACCCCAGAAGAGGTCCAGGGGCCCGTGCCCCTCTGAAGCCTTCCTGAGGTCACATTCGGCCGTCATGGAACTTCTCGCACCGGATCCCCCAGGGGCCGCCCCGCGTGTGCGACCTGAAAGTGTTCTGGAGCTCGTGCTGGAGATTTGAGCACGCCTCTGGCCCGGTGGGCCAGCGAATTGTTGGCCTTTGCATCTGTGCCTCTCGCGCTCCCTTCTTTCGATGCTGCAGTTGGTTCACGCCCACGGCCGACAGTGTTCCACACGGCGCTTTCGGGTTGCATCTTGCGCGAAGTAAGTACCTCCAGGACACAGCCTAGCAGCAAGGCTGGCGGCCCTGCATACCTCCTTCCACACACTCCCACACACGAGGTGCATACCTCCAGGAGTCAGCCCAACGGCAACATTGGCGGTCCTGCATGCAGACACGCCAACTCCCGAAGCACGAAACACGGACATCCAGGACGCAACCCAACGGAAACGATGGGACTGGCTTTGTACCACCACGTGGGTGGATGATGATGCGCTGCCGTGCCTACTGCCACGTTGAGGCGTGGAAGAATGCTCAGTGCTGTTTGGCAAGCTCTCTATGGTCTTCCGTGGGACCACCCCCGGCTCCCAGTTGCGTGTCCCCCCTCTTGCCGAGGCCACAACCCCCCGCAACGTGCGACGGAATTGCACTCCTGGGACCACGATGCCTTCCGCCCAAAATACTGCGCAGTGGGCGAAATTGCGGGGGGCAGCTGGACAAGCAATGCCTCCGCCCGCAGGTAACTTTTGTCGGCGTCTCGCCCTCCTCGTTGTCGTCCCGTCCTTCTCTCCCGCCTCCTCCTCGCTCTCCATTTCCCCCTCCCACTCTTTCCCCACCTCCTTCTCACCTTCCCCCCGTGCCTTCCCCAATTTCCTTTTCCTATTCCTCATCCCCCATCCTCATCCGCCCCCTCCCCGTGGACGTCCTCTTTCCCGTTCACCGTTTGCCCTTCTCCACCCATCTTCTTCCTCCTCCTCCTCCTCCTCCTCCTCCTGTTGACCTCTATCTCTCCCCCTCCCTTCTCCCCAAGAAGGGGAGGAGGAGGTCGGAGACCTCTGGAGGGCGCAAAAAGGGCCCGCAATCGCGCAGAGCCGTCTGCTCTCCTCATCGCCGTCGCCGTCGCCATCGCCGTCGCCGCCGCCGTGGTCGCCGTCGCCGCCAGGGCCTCGGTCGCCCTGGCCTCGGGGAGAGCCTCTTGAGACGGTGGCGGCCCTCCCGCCCAGCCCAAGTCGGCCCCGGACCCCTCCCAGGGCTGAAGTCGGGCCTGTCCCCCTACAGGGGGATTTTCGGCGAAAAATTAAAAATACCCCCAACATATAATCCAAAAAAGGTCAAAAATACTCAAACAATAATCCCCAAACTATTCTTGGACTATTTTCTGATTATTTTTGGGGTATTTTTTGTTTTCTCGTCGAAAATCCCCCTGTAGGGGGACAAGCCCGACCTAACCCAGGGCCCGTCCAGACCCGTCTCTCGAGGCGGACCCGGCCGGGGAGATGCGAGGCCTCCGGGAGCCCCTCCGCAAGGACGAGCGCCGCCAGGCAGCTCCGCCGCTGCCTCGACTGGCCCTCCTCCGAGCAGATGGCCGTCTGAAATGGGGGGCCTGGAACTCGGCACCATCACCAAGACAGGGGGCTGCCTCCACAAGGGGGAGGTGATCCTAGATTCCGGTGTTGGTGGTAATGTTTCGGCCACCTTGGAAGCGAGAATATCACCACCATCGCCGAGGTCGGGATCTCTCTTCCCTCGCTGGAGGCACAACGCCGATGTTGGTGCTGGTGTCGACCTCTAGGCCTGCGATGAAAGGCAGCGTGAGCGAGGGACCGGCTCAAGGGAAAAGCATCGAGCTGGAATCGACGGTGCAGCGCCGACAGATCGGCGGCGCGCCCCGAGCAGCGAGCCCGCGCGTTCCTGGGCGGGGTGAGCGATCCGGCCCCCGTCGGCGGTGAGTGGGCGATTGGAGGTCGATGCGTCCCCCCTGAGCCGAATCCCCCCCAGGAGAGCCCAAAATCGAATCGACAAATCGGATCAGCGATCGAAATGGATCGGATCGGCGAAAATCGGGAGCCGAGTCGGGGAAAGTCGAATCGGCGGAAATCGGCAGGCTACTAGGCCTCCATTGAGGAATCGGAACCCACATCGGAATCCGAAATCGAATCGAATCGGAATCGGAATCCATCGAAATCGAATCGAATCGAATCGGAGGAATCGAAACGAGCCCTGCCCCCCCCCCCTCCTCTGTCGCTGCCCCTGAAGAGGGGCGAGGGACGGGACGCTCAATAACCGTCCCCGGAGCTCTCCCGGGATCCTGACCCGTCTTCTGCTTCCGAGGCGAACCTGGCCGTTGCGACGAGGAGCTCCCGATAAGAGGCCTGGGCGAACATCGCTGGGGAAGGCCCCCCTGAGCCCTTGCCCCTCCTCCTCCTCCTCCTCCTCCTCCTCCTCCTCCTCCTCCTCGTTGCCCCTGCTCCTCGTCGTCGCCCTCGCCTGCCAAAGGTCCAAATGCTTGTACCTGCTCTCCGTGAGGACGGCGGCGAGGCCGGAGGCGAGCGCCTCCACCGGGTGGGGGTTGGGGGGCAGTGGAGCGGCCTGCTTCGCCCTCCCCCTGTACTCGTCCCCCACCTCGTCCTGCAACTCGTCCTCGGCCTCCACCCCGTCCTCGTCCTCGTCCTCCACCTCGTCCTCGGCCTCCACCTCGTCCTCGTCGTCGGCGTCCTCCTCCTCCTCCTCCTCCTCCTCCTCCTCCTCCTCGTCCTCGTCCTCGTCCTCGTTCTCTCTTCGCTCTCGTCGTCCTCGTCCCCTCCTCGCCCTCCTCGTCCTCGTCCTCCACCTCGTCCTCCTCGTCCTCCCCCACCACCCCTTGCACCTCGCCCTCAACCACCTCGTCCTCATCGATTCCCTCTTCCCCCGCTCCGCGGGCCTCCAGGGGCGCCCGAAGGGCCGAACACGTCCGACCATGTCAATCCCCTCCTCCTCCCTGCTTTCCTCCTCGTCTTCCTCCTCCTCCCCCTCCCCCTTCAGATCCCTCCTCACTGCGCCTCCTCCTCCGCCTCCTCCTCCCCCTCCCTCCTCCCTCCCTTCCTTCGCTTCCAACCCCTAGGGATTGGAGCTAGGCTTAACCCGTCAAGCCAGAGAGAGAGAGAGAGAGAGAAGCGGCAGAGAAACGACAAACAACTCGCCAGCCGAGCGGCGGAGCGTGGCAGCACCTGGAAGGGCAGACAGCCTCAGGGGCGAGACCGGAGATGACGGGGAACGATCGGGAGGGAAGCGTGGAGCCTGAACCAGCGATACATCGCCGATGGACCGGCGATGCGACCCTGCAGCGAGTCCACGAATCCCACCAGTCCTCTGGGCGGAGGTGGTGTAGAGAGCCCGTTCCGTTCCACTCGCTTCTTCCCCTTCGGGGAGGGGTGAGCCCCTCCCCCTGCCTGCTTCCCCTGGGCCTGGAGGGGGGGGGGCGCAGGTGGTTGGAGCGTCAGATTTTGGCCTGGGATGGCGCCAAGACAGCCCAAGAGAGCTCAAGATGACCTCCAAGATCGCTCCATATACAGTCGGGGCCCTGAAGAAGGAACCCTTTTGGTTGGGGAGGGGCTCCGCGTTCCTTAAGTGTTTCGCAGCTTGCCTCAGGTTTTCCTCAGGTTTTCGATACGAAATCGAAGTTCAACTTATGGAAAAGAGGGGCCTCGTTCCTTACTTAGGGTTCCTTAGGTCAAGGCCCCGACTGTAGCCCTCGATGGCTCACGACAGCTCCAAACAGGCCTACACGGGGCTCCAAGACCGCCCCAAGACGGCCCCAAGACGGCCACGGAGCGGCCCAAGGACGCCCCCGAGAGGCCAAAAGCCTTCAAAGACGTACAGTCGGGGCCTTGACCTAAGGAACGATAAATAAGGAACGAAGTCCCTTTTTCCCATAAGTTAAACCCCGATTTTCCATTCAAAACCTCAAGAGAACCCAAGGAGCATTGCAAAAAAACTAAGGAACACGGAGCCCCTCCCAAACGAAAAGGGTTCCTTCTTCAGCGGCCCGTCTGTAGGGGAAATCGATGTTTCTTGCCTTCTCGCTTTCAAATGGGCTCTTGAGGCTTCAAGATGGCTCCAAGATGGCCCAAGAGAGCGCCTAGACAGGGTCCAGAGAGGCCCAAGACGGGCCCAAGAGCGCTCAAGAGCGCCCCAAGAGCAGCCCAAGAGGGCCCCGAGAAGCGACTTTTCGGGTTCCGAAGGGGGGGGGCGTAAACGCCGCGCTCCTTTTTGAGCCGTGGCCTCGAAGATGGTCCCAAGAGACCTCTCGGACCCCCAAAGAGCCCCAAGAGGGCCCCGAGACCCCCCAAAAGAGCCCCAAGGGTGCCCCAGGAGGCACCATGAGGACCCCAAAAGGGTCCAGAGACCTGCAACATAGCCCCCAGGAGCGACAAACCTAGAAACGCCTTCATGGTTATCTTCGTCGCCGTCGTCGTCGTCGTCGTCGTCGTCGTCTTCGTCGTCGTCGTCGTCGACGACATCGTCGTCGTCGTCGTCGTCGACGTCGTCGTCGTCGTCGTCGTCGTCGTCGTCGTCGTCGTCATCGCCGTCGTCGTCGTCGTCGTCATCTTCGCCGTCGCCATCGTCGTCGTCGCCGTCGTCGTCGTCGTCGTCGTCGGGTGCGTCGTCGTTATTATGGTCATCGCCGTCGTCCTTCTCGTCGTCGCTACCCTCATTTCTCCGCACACCACCTTCTCTTCCTCCTGCTCCGCCTTGTCCTCCTCCCACTGCCCCCACAACAATGTATTAGAGAAAGTAGGTAGGAGATGGGCGGACGAGGATATATGCGAGAGCAGGAGGAGACACACCCGAAAGTTACGACCGTCGGTGTGCGTCGCAACATGTGCTGTTTTGAGATGGACTGGTGGGGATACGCGAAGCATGAACCATTCACAAGCGGCGTTGGTTATTTGGCCCCTATCGGCGATGAGTAGGCGAGTGTGAGACGATAGGAAAAGGAACAACAATACACACATACACTTTTGGAGGTCTGCGCGGATGCCGTGGATGGGCGGTGGAACCCCCTCCCTGGCGCGCGGAGCGCGCCAATGGCGGCGCAGGAGGCGCCGCCAAGGGGCTCCAACGCCGATCCAAGAAATCCGCACGGAGCTTTGACAATTCATGCGTATGCCGCTTTTTCTTCTTCGAGTCACCCCCCCTGAGCCTACTCTGAGTTCCTGAATAAGCGTGGGGGGGTACCCCCCTGACGGGGGTCAACCTCGCCTCGTCGTCGCGCCGCGACGGGGGTCGGAGCGCCTTCGGCGCGCGGTGGCTGCCCGCGACGGGGGTCGATGTGGGGCTGTCGGCGGGGGTGACGCCCCCTCGACGCTTATTAAAGAACTCGGAGTATCCTCCCTGAGCCCATCTCCCCGTGAGCCTATGCCCTGAGCCGTTCATGGCCGGCCTGTCCCCTTGAGCCTGCCCCCGAGCCTATCCCTTGAGTCTATCCCTGAGTCTGTCCCCCCGAGCCTTAGGTCGGGCATGGCTCCCTACAGGCGGATTCTGGGCGAACAATACAACATGCCCAAACATGCCCAAACATGCTCACACATGGTCAGCAAATCGTCCCCAGACAATTCTCTCACCATTTTTGAGCATTCCTCCCGTAGAGGGACACGCCCGACTTAACCTTAGCCGTTCGTGGCCCCCCGCCGATCCGTTCTTTGTAGTTTTCGATGCGATAGCGCCGATTTGGCGTCGATCGGCGTCGATGGAGCATCGATTCGCGTCGATCCGCAAGAGCCCACAGGAGATGGAGGGGAGGAGATACCCTAAGCGGAGTGGCCCAGGGGGCGAGACCGGGTACCCGGGCTCAGGCATGGCCAGCCCAGGAGCTGCGCGCGGCCGCTCCAGGGTTACCTCCCTCCTCCCTCCTCCCTCCTCCCTCCTCCCTCCTCCCTCCTCCCCTCCTCCCTCCTCCCTCCCTCCCTCCTCCCTCCTCCCTCCTCCCTCCTCCTCCCTCCTCCTCACTCCCCCCTCCACAATTACTCAATCTGAATACTACTCTCCCTCTTCCCCTGATGGCGTGCTGGGAGTGGCCGACCCCCCCCGCGTATTGTTTTTTTACACACAGGATTCCCGGGAGTTGGGTTTTCGCCTGCGTTTTTTTCAACATGCTGCTCTCGCTGAGGCGCCGGCCTCATTTCTGCTCCCGAGTCGTTCCGAATCGTGCTCCCGCTGCAGCGTGGGCCTCATTTTCGGATCGGTGTTTGGCCTCCGTCGTTCAGGATGGCGTTCTCGCCCCAGCGCGGGCCTCTTTCTCGCGCGCCCATCCGCCCGCCACCACCGCACCACCACCACCACCACCACCACCACCACCACCACCACCACCACCACCACCACCACCACCACCACCACCACCACCCACCACCACCACCACCACCACCACCACCACCACCACCCCACCCCACCAGCAGCAGCAGCAGCAGCAGCACAGCAGCACCACCACCACACACCACAACCACGCACACACGCACGCACGGACGCACGCGCACCACCACCCACTACGCACGCGCGCGCGGAGCCACAGGTCCGCTACGACACGCGTCCGCGGATAGAGAAAATCAGCGCCATGGTAAGGGATGGGAGGGAGGGGTAGGACGTCAGATATGACGCAAGCGCACCTAGCTTGTCATCCTCCCCCTCCTCTTCCTCCCCCCTCCCAACCCACTCCTCTTCCGCTTCCTCCTCCTCCTCCTCCTCCTCCTTCTCCTCCTCCTACTCCTCGAGCGTTGCAGAAACTGCATACACTTCTCGATCTGTGCGTGCCGTTGTTGGGCACGGGCTGTGCTAATCTTCTTTTTGTATATTCTCAATTTCAACGGGTGATCCCCCGACCGAGTCTGCCTCCTCCTCCCCCGAAGGGCAAAGATAAGGGGGGGGGGCTGGCTTAAGGTAGGGGGGGGTGCATCGACCTGGAGTCGGCGATACATCGCCGGTTAGATCGGCGATCGGCCTCCCATAGCTCATGCGCACCCTCCTGGGCAGGTTGAGGCTATCGGGCCCCTGTCGGCGATTGTGGGTCGATGCACCTCCCCGCCATGCCTTTCCTCGGAAACTGGAACATATACATGACCAGTGGTGGGTTGTTTTTCAATCCTAAGACTTTTCGAGGGTCGGGGACGACGTGGGCGTGGTGTGGTGAATACTTTTTTCTCCGTTTCCCCGGGGAAGCAGCGACAAATACAACCGCCTCGCGCGCACTTGTCTGGTCGATTGCCCAAGGATGTGCGCGCAAGGTGGAGAGACCAGCTCTTGGAAGTGAAGAAATGCATCAAATTCACTGGGCTGACCGCAGGCGGACGTCACCTGCAAGCCAGCATTACAGCCTGACGCGCCTTGGCGCGAACGGCACACATACTGAGGCGCCGACCAATCCCCTTTCTGAACATTCGAACGCCAACAATGAAACTCTCTATACGATGTATATATATATATACACACCGAAATACATAGATACTTAAAGGCCTCTCAATGCGCGTATCCATGGCGGGTAAATTCAATCCTATGCTATGAAGCGGCGGACCATGCCAAAAGACCTGTCGTGAACGGCCCGGTCTTCAGGGAGAAATCTGACTTAGCCGATCAATGAAAGTACCGGCCGTCAAGATGCATCCCCACACCTCCTTATTCATCGCACTATACACCTTTTGCCATGCAATGTAGAGCTTCAGGTTCTCTAAAGGTAGCCGCCTGCAACATGAGTGCCTAGAAACGCCGCAGCCCTAGCGCAAGCCAGTCTTCTGCGACCGAGGCCGACGTTCACTTCAAACGCCCCACGACATAAGCCGTGTTGAACCACAATGAAGGGCCTGATCAACCCACGCATCAGAGGAAAGAGCGTCTCCGAGAGACAAGAGCGGACAAGAGCTATTGCCCCCAGGCAAACGCATGCGAGCGGTGGCCATCCGAAGATGATCACATTTTCTATGTCAAGCAGGGAGCGCAGGCAATCCTGCCCTCCGCTCACAAGCCCGACGAGTAGTTCAGTGAAACGATGAGTTACATCCTAGCCACCGGCACCAGGCAGTCCTGCCATCGGTCAGTAGCTTCCAAGAGGAGGGGACATCGCGCGAGGCACTAGTGCCAAATTCGCACGAGCCTCTAGCGTCCGCATGATCACTCGTGAGTTGCGAGGACCTTCGCCTTCAGCCTTACTCTTGGGAGATGCATTCATTAAAGCAGCAGCATGATCTGAAGTCGCTCCCGCAACTATAGCATCGCAACTTCTGCTACCAACTGACTCGCTTAAAATGCCATCGAAGTGAAACGTGAAACCTATTCATGTAGCTAGCTAACAGATGTTTGGTCTTCATTCTTCACGTGTGGTCCCATGATCTATTAAAATTCGCGCCGTTCCAATCAGCTGCAGCTCATTCGGGTTGAGCGCTCCCATTGCTGACTGTACACGCAAGAGGCCCGACGTCTAACTCGCGATGCTAGGTTTGGCGTTTGGCAGTGTTCACACGGCTGTCCTAAGCTTGCCAATCAGCGCCCAGAGCTGCAACCCTCACCTTCTTGTTCACAGTCTGCTTGAACAGGTTGAACACAGTGTCCTCGTCGCCCTTGTTCGTGAAGTGGGTCTTTTCGAAACCCTTTCTGAAGCCCTCGACTGCGTCAACTTCTAGCTCGTACATCCGCCACACGGAGGGGCAGATGTAAGCGTTCGTAATGTTGTCGAAGCTGAATGCGAGAGAAAACTCGAAGAAGCACCAGCCCCGCGAGAAATACTCTGTACCAGCAACGACCTCGTCGTCCATGGGCAGGACGATCACTGGAGTGTTACCCATACTGTAATTCAAGTCCATCGATCCTAGAGCCTTCTTGAACAAGGCCTCTTCCTCCTTCGTGCGGGCGGCAGGGTGCTCTCCAGGTTTGGGCACCTTGTTCTCCTTCTCCCACAGATCGTAGTCGGGGTGCATTTTGTCATTCTGAGGGAGCCCCATATAGTCGATGAAGACTGCATCGTCGTCGGACGCGTGCAACACGTTCAGCTGCTGCACCAGAACTTGCAGCTTCGTCCCTTTGGGGTCAGGGTGACTCTTCGACAGCCAGGGGTGCGACAGAACGAATGTGTTCTCGACAAGGTCCTCTCCTCTGGCTCGCGGGAAGCCCATGCTGCCGACTTGCGCCAGCCGCCGCACCCAGGGGGGGCCCTCCAGCCCAGAGAGGAACACAGCGCAGAGACTGTTGAGGACGTTGTCGCCCGCCAGCGTGGCGGACCAGATCTGTTCGTTGCCTCTAGGCCTCCTACATGGGGTCGGAGTAGATGGGGTCGGAGGATCGCGCCGCATCGCCGATGCGTCGGCCATGCGGCTCGATGTGGAGCCCGCCTTGCTCCACGTCGACGTCGCCGATGCACCGCCGATGTCGACGTTGCATCGCCAGTGCATCGCCGATGCATCGCCGATGCATCGCCGATGCATCGGCGATGCGGCGCGATCCACCGACCCCATCTACTCCGACCCCATCCAGGCGGCCTTCATTGCCATGGTAAATACTCGGCAACGTGCCCAACTGCGCCCACGAGGCGGACAGGGACAGCAAGACCACGACGCCCGTGGCGCCCACCCACCAGGCCGCCTGGGCCGCCCCCGCGCGCCGGGAGCGCCAGCCCTGCCACGCGCCGGCCAGGAGCCCCCACGCCGCGCAGCACAACCCCGCGACATGGCAGGCGTAGAACGTAGACATGAACATCAGAATAAGTAAAAACGTATCCCCAACATAAAGATCGAGATGACCCAGTATGCTGGGGCCTGTGAGTGTGATGAGGCATGCGATGAGGCAGATGAGGCAGAAGACCGTCGCGCTGGCCACGCCCCCCCAGAGGGCCGCCCGCGCCGCCGCGGCGAGGCGGGGCCGCCCCAGCGCGCGGAGCTTCAGGACCAGGAGGTGCCACTGCACGAAAATGGTGGCATAGTAGGTGCAGAAACTCATGGGCAATACAACCCAAATTTCAGGCCAAATTCCCCAAGCCAGCAGGCTCGCCCCGTTGAGCGCGGCGCACACCCCGAGGCGCCGCGTCCCCACGTGCAGGGGCGAGCCGCCCTCGAAGCGCCCGCGCGCCCAGACGCACCAGGTCGCGAAGGCCAGCGACGCGGGCGAGCCCACGAACAACAAGGCGTCATCAAGGTAATCAAGGTACGAGTCGTACGGGGACAAGTGGAACAAGTAACCGAAGGGCCCCGCCGCGGCCAGGACGGCGAGCGCCAGCAGCGCCAGACGGGCGCCCCAGCGGCGCGCGATGCTCTCGGGCGGGCCGCCCCTGGGGAGCAGCGCGGGCGCGCCGGCGCCGTGCTCCGCGGGGGGGGCCGGGCGCCAGGTCGACGAGCTCGATGGCCTGCTCGCCGGGGCCGTAAAGCGGGGCCCGCTCCGAGCCGCCGACGTCGGACATCTCGCTCGTCTGACGTCGCCGCGCGCACCGGGGGGCGCGCAGAAAGTCGGGTCGCAATGCTTGAGCCCAAATGGTTACGGAGCATAACACCACACATCTTGAAATAACACATCATACCACGACACAACATCACATACCACAGCATAACACGAGAGCATATAATAACGACCTGCACTGGCAGAGCAGATCATACGATACTATACAACGCAAAGCAGTCAACACACACCATCGTAGAACATACGAGAGCAGACCATGGCATACCAACCAACGACATAACACAACACAGCATAACAAGCCCGACCATAACATACCACATCAATACTTATCATACCATATCATGACACAACAGCACGAACCATATCATAATACGAAGCAATGCATAGCGACGACGGACACGACATAACACACCATGACACAACAAAATACGACAAAACAGAACACGGTCATGACAGACCATGACATAACATAATATAGGAATGCCATGGTAACACACATTATAATATATCATCACATACCGTACGAGCGCATGACATTACATACCATGATACGACATTACACAACATAACATAACACATTCGAACATAGCGTATCACACCATGCCGTAACATATCATATCACATCATGATAACACCGCAGAACACAGCATAACAAGAATGCGCAGAGCGCGTTTCTTGATTCGCGTCAATAACGGGCGGCTTGGGGGGGGCAGGGGGGCATAACGTGACGCCCACCCCCAGCGTGCGGTTCCAGCGCCACCACAGCGTCCGCGCGCAAGACGACGACGAGCGACGACGACGAGCGATAACGACGACGACGACGAGCGACCACGACGACGAGCGACCACGACGACGACCGACGACCGACCACGCACGACGACGACGACGACGAGCGATCACGACGACGTAGCCGACGGCTGCGACGACGACGACGACGACCGACGCCAACGACGACGACGACGGCGACGCCTCCAAAGGTCTCCAGAAGTTTCAAGAAGCCATCTGGAGGCCTCCTGAGACCTCTGGAAGTCTACGGACATCTTCAAGAGTTCATCGAAAGCGTTCGAAGGCGTTCGACAAAAACGAACGACCGCGGGCGATGTCGACCGACGACAACGACGACGACGACCGCGACGACGACGAAGATGACGACAATGACGACGGCGACGACGACGACGACGAGCGACGACGACGTCGATGACGACGACGACCGACAATGAAGAGCATCTTTACCCAACTCAAGCCCAACAGGGCCAACATTATCAGGATGTGCAGGTAGTAAGTTTGGTGCTCTCAGCATAGGTTCCAAGGAACGTCATGGGCTCGAGGTTCCCGAGAGCCATGGCGTCCAAGAAAACTGCGAAAACCGTAGAAGTATGAGATCCGACTGTCCGTTAAGCGGATAGGGGACGAAAGAGAGTGCGGGGCGCGCGCGCGTCATTTCCCTCCGTCCGATCCCAAACAGCTAGGGAACGGTCAACTCAGTGTTGAAGTAAATGCATATATGTACATATGCGGCGGCAGGGAGCGCATGGCAACGACTCCCCCCGCGGCGGCGAAGCCGCAGCGGCCGGCCAGGGCCGACGCAGCACCATCGGGACCCAACGTCTCCGACGGCGCCAAATTCAGGCAGGCGCGGGCGCGAGGCTCTCAAAGCCGTCAGCAGCCCAGCTCGCCACGTCGTAATCACCATTTAGCCATGGGCGCATGGTGTTTGTGCTGGTTTTGCCACCAGTGCGCCATGGGCGCCTGGTGCTATGGGTCGCCGCGTCGCCATGGGTAATCTCTGGTGTCGTGGCGGCGATCGTCCCAGCTCTCATGACCACCCTTGCCGCGGTCATCCTGCCCGGCCCCTTGCTCCTGGCTGGGCTGGAGGAGCCCCGCCGCGCACTCAAGGCGCGGTCTACTGGGGGTCGGCTTTGCCTCCGATCGCGCCATGGGGGTGGAGCTGGTTCGGGCTGATTGTGCTGGGGCGCGGATGGAGCGGCACCACTCGGGGCCGATTGGCGGAAATCCGTATAGTGGCACGGCCGCGCCGCCGGCGGGGACGCCGCGCGGCTGCCCCCCTTCTCGTGGGGTCGCCCGCCCTTTCCCGTCTCTGCTGCCTTTGGGGGCGGCGGGGCCGCGCCGCTCGAGGTGCTGCCTTTGCCGTGCCCCTTCCGCGAGGACGCGGCCGCCCTGTCCTCCTGCGCTGAAGAACTACTGAGAGCGCGCTTGCGGCTTGCAGAGCGGGCCGCCCTGGCGGTCGTTGCCTGCGGTTGGTTTCTCCGTGCCTCTCGCGCAATGGGCCGTCGGGGGGTGGGGCGCTCCTGTTCTGGTTCTAGCGTCGCCACCCCGTGCCGTTGCCAACTATTCAAGGCATGCGCCGCAGCCTCGTGCACGTGCAGCGGCCACCGTTCAACGGCGGCGCGTTGGAAAGTGTCGGGCGTCAGCCGCAGGCCGCGCTTGAGCGCCGTTGCCTGCGACTGCTGCAGGTGCTGCATGCCTGCCTCAATCATGTGCGCATCAGTGGAGACCTGCGGTATTTCTGTCCGATGCCGGTAGATATCTCTGCACACCAGATCCAGCATCTCACGATGTGCCCTGAGGAGGTTGACTTCACGCAACAAATCGGTTCGGTACTGATCAACTTCTTCGAGATGAGTACGCATGGCGTCCTCATCCGCAGTTGCTCCGTCGATCTCTGTCCAGTCGAAATCTTTGGTAACCTCAACGGCCACCCTGTAAACTTGTTCCGACATCCATGTCGTCTTCATTTCGTACATATCTGGGTCGTAAACGGAGAAGTCGGGCGGCTCGTACCACATCCGGCGTATCCTTGCCTCGCAGGTGGCTGCGGTAGTCGCCTCGTGGTACTCTTCCGGCTCCTCATGGGCATGTGTGGGGGTCATCAATTCCAAAGAGGTTGGGGTGGCGCTTTAAAGGCATTTAACGACCACTCCCTGGGTGTATGCGTTTTGTTACCAGCCGTTCTCGCATATTCAGTGCCGTGGTACATGGGGACGCGCATCTTGAACACATGCAGAGCACGTTTGTCTGAACGAGTCCTCCTGTGACATGGCGGTGCGAGGCTCTACGATTCCCAATGGAGACGCAGTAGATGCGGTAATTTACGGCTGCGGCTGCGCGCCTGTGGTGCCATCACGGGACGTCTGTGTGTGTGGGCCAGCTATCATGTGCATCGTGTGGCATGCAGCTCGAGTGCTTTCGCGTGACCTCTCACATTGTGTGAGGGTTCGGAAGTGTCAAGCTGAGTTTGGTGTCCTCTTCTTCCAATGGCTTGGCAACTTGCACTCAAATTGAGCGGCGCAGCGGGGTGAACACGTTGTTCCCTAGACCGCGGACTCGCTCTGCCGATTTGAGATACTGCGGGTGAGAGCACGATGAATCCCATCGGCCGCAGCGCCCGTCGAGAACAGAGGGGGCGTGGGGCTTGTACTGGCAACTGGTATGACTCAGTCACTGCATCAGTCGCTCCTCCTGCAGCAGCTAGCGCAACGGTCTGTGCGCCGCACGTTCGCCAACCTATATGAGTTTGTTGTCGGCGGCCAACCTGGGGGGGAAAGGAGCAGGGGCGGGCCTCCTCAGAAGGCTCGGCAGTCCCCCGGCCTTCGTCCGAGACCTCCCCGAAGACGCAGGAGCACCTCTCAGAAGGCCAAAACCTCCCGAGAGGGCCTTCTCCTTCTCCCTTCCCCCCCCCTCGCTCGCCGCCGATCTGGGCTTGTCCAGCAGCACGAGGAAGAGGCCGAGCGCCTCCTCCTCCCTCTCCCGAGCGCCCCCGCGAGGCGCGCAGCCGCGAGGCCGGCGCTGCAGCGGGAGCACGAGTCGGAGCGAGCGGAGGCGCGGACAGGAGGCCAGCGCTGCAGCGGGAGCACGATTCGGAACGAGCGGCGGCCCGGAAACGCGGCCTGCGCCTCAGCGGGAGCAACATGTGGGACACAACCCACGCGAAACCCCAACTCGCGGGAATCCGGTGGGAGAAGCACAATGCGCGGATGGGGTCCAGAGATCTTCCAGACGTCATCCGGGGAGAGAGGAGAGCAGCATCCATATGGTGCAATGGCGGAGGAGGAGGAAGAGGGGACCTGCTGAGGTTACGTTTTCCTGATCCCCCCCTAACTCGGACACGCGCTGGGATTATTGATCCGTAGGTCTGGCGCGTGGGCGCCAGACCCACGGATCGGAGAAGGCACCCGCACGGACATCGCGCCAGTGCCGCCCGCAGCGCGCCGTTTCTGCATCGGAATGGGACCCGTTGCTGACCCACGCGCCTCAATCCATGCTTGCGCTTCTTCGACGAGCCTCGCCCCTGCTCCCCCCCTCTCCTCCTTCTCCTCCGCCTCCTCCTCCTCCCGGCGGCGAGCCTGGGGGGGGGGGGGAAGTGAGAAAGGGCAGGCCGTCTCAGAAGGCTCGGAAGTCCCCTGGCCTTCTGTTGAGCAGGGACCGACCGTCCTGGCATTCCTGTAGTCCTACCACGAAATGTTCCTAGAACCCGAACATGTTCTAAGAACAAGGTCAACACGTGAGCCCGATGTGAAAAAAAACAAGACAGACTCCGCCAGACATGTTCTAAGAACATTTCGTGGAAGCCACAAAAAAGGTTCTTAGACTATTGTCTGGTAGGGCTATAGTAATAGGCGAGCCAGGACGCCTCGCCGCTGCTCGATTCCGACAAGCTGCCCAGGGCTTCCCCGAAGACGCGGGGAGCTCCTCCGGAGGCGCGGGGGCCTCCGAGGAGCCCCGCCGCCTCCCGGAGGCACCCCCCTTCTCTCACCGCCCCCCCCCCCTCGCTCGCCGCCGCTCCGCCTCCCGAGCCTGCCCCCCTCCTCTCGCCTGGCGCTGCCCCTGCTCCCTCCTGCTCCCCTCCCCCTCGCCCCCCTCGCCCCCCCCCTCCTCCTCCTCCGCCTCTCCTCCTCCTCGTCCTCGTCCTCGTCCTCGTCCTCGTCCTCCTCCTCCTCTCCTCCTCCTCCTGGCCTCCGAGGAGCCCCGCCGCCTCCCGGAGGCACCCCCCCTCCTCTCACCGCCCCCCCCCTCGCTCGCCGCCGCCCCGCCTCCCAGCCTGTCCCCCCCCCCCCCCCCTCCCCCGCCTGGCGCTGCCCCTGCCCCCCTCCTGCTCCCCTCCCCCTCCCCCCCTCGCCCCCTCCCCTCCTCCTCCTCCTCCTCCTCCTCCTCCTCCTCCTCCTCCTCCTCCTCGTCCTCCTCCTCGTCCTCCTCCTCCTCCTCCTCCTCCTCCTCCGCCTCCTCCTCCTCCCCCCCTCGCCTTCCAGAGGGCCAGCAGCGTGCCCGCGGCCGCCTGCCCGAGGCCGCCAGGCCCGTCGGCCGCGCCAGACCTGCCGCGGCGGCGCCCCCCCCCCCCCCGCCCGCCGAAGGGGAGGCAGCACGCGGAGCAGGCTCGGGCTCGGGCTCGGGCATCGGTGGGCGGCGCGCCGAGGGGGGCAGAGGGGTAAAACGACGCGAAGATCGGGACAAAACCGGATCGGGATAACTCGAAATCTCTGAGAATCGGCGGGTCTGGAGGATGTTTTGGGCGCCGCGGCCGCTCCAGAACGTTCTGGAACGCTCTGAGAGCGCTCCGGAACGCTCTGGAGCGATCTATCCCGATCCTAGCCCTGTTGTAAAGGGAGGGGAGGCTTCCCGGAAGGAGGCCGCTCCTTGGAAGGCGCCGGCCTGACGCCTGCCGCCGAGGCCCCCTCTTGCCCTCCAAGACGCAGGCCCCGCCTCGAAGAGGCCGTCCCCCTCCCCCTCCCCCTACCCCCCCCCCTGCGCGTGGCTGACTCGGGCTCGCGCTCGCGCTCGGGGGATCGGGCTCCAGCTTGGGCTCTGGCTCGGGAATCGAGCCCGGGCTCGGGCCCGAGCCCGGGCTTCCGGGCCTCCAGGCTGGGACGGGCCCGCTCGGAGCCGCGGCCCCGCCCGGCCACACATCGGGAAGGGCAGGCTCATCGAAGAGCAGCACATCGCATACGCATGCACCGTCGGAGGTCCGTGCGGATGTCTCGGATCGGCGCTGGAGTCCTCTCCCCGACGCGCGGAGCGCGCCAGGCGCGGCGCCAGAGGCGCCGCCGGGGTGACGCCAGGCCGCGCTCGCCGAGGTAGAGCTAGTCGAAGAAGGAAACGATTGCATCAGTATAACCTTTCGCTAATGTGCGCCCCGCGTGTTTTTCTCGAAGAGGTCAAGCGACTCGCTCGAACCTGCACCTGCTCGATGGAATTTCGGCAGACGTGCCCAGCCATCCCGAGATCAGTCGGCTTCCAGTGCTCTTGGGCCCCGAGAGGGTCATTGGCCCGCAGGATCGCAGACGTACCCCGGATCAAACCTGGAGGTGCGACGGAGCACTTGCGCAGTACCAGCCCCGAGCTTTCGCGATCCCAGGCCACCTTCAGGAGCCGGACACGCCGCGGGCGTCAAGGACGCCCGCAAACACGTGGCACTGTTCGCCCGCCAGGCTCACCCAATACCAAGCCACAACGAAGCGGGTGCGTCGCATCGGTCCGGATCGGCACGGGGCCAGATTCCAACTCACCTACGAAGAAAAACCGCCCGATCCCTAAAAACGCCCGCCGCCCGCGGGCCTGGGACTCGGCGGGCGGACTCGGGGTGAAGGTGGTGAACGGCATGATGTCGGGCCTGTCCCCCTACATGGGGTTTTCGACGAAAAACGAAACATACCCCCAAATACCCCCAAGAAGGTCAAACGGTACCCTAAAAATAGTCCCCGGACTATTTTTGGAGTAGCTGTTTGATTACTCTTAGGGTATCTTTTATCTTTCGTCGAAAATCCCCCTGTAGGGGGACAGGCCCGACATAAGAATGGCAAGATGGCTCGGGTAAGACTCCGCTCACGGGCGGCGGGCGCCCTTTGGGATCGGGCGGCTGCTTCTTGTCAGCCGCGAGATCGTCTCGGCCGCGCCGGGAGGCTCTGAAGGGGCCCAAGGACACGCAAATCAATACACACAAATAACGTCATTCCCCATATTTTCCCATATCTTCTGGGTTTTTGTCTTCCCCCCCACTTCCCATATTTTCCCATTTTCCCTCCTGAGGCTCAGCCGACGCCGTGCGAGCATCGGGCCGCAGCGGATCGCGGGGGCGCTGGGGTCGGATCGGCTCGAGCCGCGACGGAACGCGGGAATGCCGGGGTCGGATCGGCTCGAGCGGCAACGGAACGCGGGAGTGCCGGGGTCGGATCGGATTGGGCCGGCCGAAGACGATGTGGAATCGGGTCCGTCGGATCGAGGATCGAGGATCGATCCTCGAGGATCGAGCCGTCCAGCTTTCGAGGATCGAGGGCCAGACATTTTGGCGGCCTGTGCCCTTGCGCCCCCTCGTCACCACGGCCACGCTCAGGGCCCCCCCAGGCCCCCGCTGGCTGAGCCTGAGGGCTGGAACTCCCCTGGCGGGTCGAGGAAGAGGAGGAGGAGGAGGAGGAGGAGGACGAGGAGAAGGAGCAGGAGCAGGAGCAGGAGCAGGAGCAGGAGCAGGAGGAGGAGGAGGAAGAGGAGGAGGAGGAGGAGGAGGAGGAGGAGGAGGAGGAGGAGGAGGAGGAGGAGGAGGAAGAGGAGGAGGAGCACGAGCAGGAGGATAAGGTGGTGGTATGCAAGCATCGTCAAAGCCGATCCGTCGTTAAAATCGATTCCCTCGTCGGGGGGGCGGGCTTCAGGGGCTGCGATGCAACGGCTCAGCGGGAATGGGGACCGGTTAGACGGCAATGCTGGGTATGGGCGGAAGTGGGGTTCGAGGAAGATCGGCCAACATGGCTCCCCGAAGAAGGGAACGTGAACATCCAACTGGGCTTGCTCCCTTGCCTCACCCTGGGAGAACCCCCACTGCGAACTGGCAATTTGGGGCCCCCCTTGGGCGTGGCTTAATGGGGGGGTCACAAATGGGGGGGTCAGAAAAGGTCCCCTTTCGGGGCCCTCTGGAGCCACAGGGGGCTCGTTTAGGTACCGTTTGGGTACCTTTTCGAAACGCCCATTACGAAACGCCCAACTCCCTACGGCATTTGGCTGCCCCGTGTGGATTCCCCTCGGATTGCACGCCCGACTTCGGGCCGGCGGGAGCCCCCCCTGCTGGGGAGCTGGCGCCCGCGCTGGAGCAGGGGAGAGCGCGGCGGCGCCAAGGGCGGCGTGTAGCCTCCGGAAGGCCAGGAGGAGGAGGAGGAGGAGGAGGAGGAGGAGGGGGAGGAGGAGGAGGAGGAGGAGACCCACCCTGCGAGTCCTGGTACTAGGGCGCCCGCAAGAGGCCCTGAAGCCTCGGATGAAGGCGGATGGCCGCTCTGAGCCTTCCTGACACGACCTCCCTGGCGTAGGCGAAAAGGAGGAGGAGGAGGAGGAGGAGGAGGATGAGGAGGAGGAGAAGTAGGAGGAGGAGGAGGAGGAGGAGGAGGAGGAGGAGGGAGGAGGAGGAGGAGGAGGGGGAGGAGGGGGAGGAAGAGGAGGAGGAGGAGGAGGAGGAGGGGGAGGAGGAGGAGGAGGAGGAGGAGGAGGGGGAGGAGGAGGAGGAGGAGGCCGATTCTTAACCCGAGGAGAACATGAGGGCTCGTTTGGAGTCGAGGCCCGATCCCTCCATCGGGTGACGCAGGCAGGGCGGCTCACGAGCAACACGGGCTCACCGTGCTGCTCTTGGGGGTGGGGAGAGGAGCGAAAGGCTGCTCAGGAGGCTGCTCCTTAGCAGGCGCCAGCGCTGCATCTGTAGACGAGGGCCGTGCCTTCTGAGAAGCCGGGGGTGCTTCTGAGAAGCCTTCCCCCCTCCCTCTACCCCCCCCTCAGCGCGTGGCTGCTCTCCCGCGCCGCGCGCTCCACTCGCCGCACCCCGTGCTGCTCCTGCTGACAACGATAAGGGGGGGACTTAGGCACACGGGGGGATGCATCGATCCCCAGTCGTCGATTCATCGCCGACAGGGGTCCGATGGCCCTGACCCGCCCAGGAACGTGCGGTTTCACCGTCGGGGGCCTATCGCCGATCTATCGACGATGTATCGCCGATTCCAGTTCGACGTTCCCCCCCCCCCCCCTGTGGCAGTCCCCCCCCCTATCGTTGCCCCTCATTCTACGTATTCGACCGTGGACCCCTTGTTATCCATCTCCCTCGGGCGGTCTGTGGCGGTCTCCGGCGGTCTCTCCGCGGTCTTCGGCTAGGTCTTCCGGCGGTCTTCGGCGCTTTCCAGCGGTTTCCAACGATGCCCCGAGGTCTTCGGCGTGAAAGCCGGATGCTTGCGTGTAGCATTATGTCGGGCCTGTCTCCCTACAGGGGGATTTTCGACGAAAAATAAAACATACTCCCAGAACAATCCAAAGATAGTCCAAACATACTCTGGGGACTATTTTTGTTAATCTATTTTTTAGCCATATTGGAATATGTTTGGGGTATCCTATATTTTTCGTCAAAAATCCCCCCGCAGGGGGGCAGGCCCGACTGAATCGCATTCCTTGACTCCTTGACTCGTCGGCTCGAGGCTCGACGAGGAGGCTCTGCTCTGCCACACAGCTCGTGGCCCTCGTCGGCCCTCGAGCGGGGGAGACCTCTCGGGGACCTCCCAGCGGCCACATCCAGCGGCCGGGAACAGAAGGCCACGGCGGTCGCTGGCTCTGGCGTTTCGGAGCCTTCGGGGAGTCAGTCTTTGGGGCCTCGGGCTGTCCAGAGGCGGCTCGAGACTAAAGGACTGTCCCTTGGGAAGAGGTCGACGGATGATGCGTGATGGCGAGCCAGAGATTTACGGGCGGGCCCGCCACGCAGCAACGCCCTGGGCGATGGTTGATACATCCAGTTCCGGGCCTTCTCGCATGCATCGTCGTCGCCGTTGGCATTCGGGTGTCCTCTCCAGAATCTTTCCATTGGCAGGAAGCTATGTTCTCAGTGGTTCCATCTCGCTTGTTTTCTTCATCGTCATCCTGCACTTCGAGGGGGGGCAGACTTGAACACATCAAACCGTCGCGTTTGTAGGTGGGTCTCGCAGCGGCAGCAACAAAAGTCGGAGTCGTAGTAGTCGTAGCAGAAGCAGCAACATTGCAGTACCCGTAGTCGAAATGATGGTATATATAATACTAATAGAAGAATACTTCTGACTAGAAATCGAGCTCGTAGTGGAAGTAAACATCATCGTAGTAGTCGTAAGATACATTCAGTAGAAGTAGTCGTAGGTGTAGTGGGCGTCGAATGAATCGTTGCCGCAGTAGCAGTATAAGTAGTCGCATAAGCAGTAGTAGTAGTCGTAGTAGTAGTAGTAGTAGTAGTAGTAGTAGTAGTAGTAGTAGTAGTAGTAGTGGTAGTAGTAGTAGTCATCGTAGTAGTAGTAGTAGTAGTAGTAGAAGTAGTAGTAGTAGTCGTCGTAGG